CAGTGTCTGCACCCTGCCTACTGCCAATATTATGGATTTCTGTTCTGTTAGAGATATGCCATTCACAACAATCTCTACAAAAATAATTTAGTCATGGCTAACAGTTTCCCTGATTTGTTACTGTTCACAATGTAGCATGGTCTCTCCTACCTTTGTGCATTCAGTTGTTAAAGTATGTCCTTAATATTTGTATTATTTGATTATATCTTAAGTTTATTATTTAAAAGCAAATTCACTTAATCTTTCCCTAGAAGAGATAATAGGTGTGTTTGACTTTAAGCTGCGCTGCGCAGACCGATCGAAGTATGACATCAAAGACAGCTTCTTTAAAAAAAAAAAAGTGATGTGACATGTGGCCAAGTATGGTGACCCATACTCGGAATTAGTGCTCTGCATTTAGTGCACACACACACAGCAGTGAACACACACACACCGTGAACACACACCCGGAGCAGTGGGCAGCCATTTATGCTGCGGCGCCCGGGGAGCAGTTGGGGGTTCGGTGCCTTGCTCAAGGGCGCCTCAGTCGTGGTATTGAAGGTGGAAGAGAGCGCTGTACATTCACTCCCCCCACCTACAATCCCTGCCGGTACGAGACTCGAACCCACAACCTTTGGGTTACGAGTCCAACTCTCTAACCATTAGGCCACGACTTCCCACTTTATTGTCACCTTTGGAGCTACACTCCTTTGTGTTCCATGAAAGAAAGAAGAACACGGGTTTGGAGCGACATGATGGGTGAGTAAATGATGACCAGATGTTCATTTTAGTGAACTAACCATTTAAAATGAATGAACGTAACATTGAAATGATAGATCGAAGATGCTTAGAAATGCTCACTTTTTTGATAGTTAAGGCTGGAATGGTAAACACATTCAGAACATGTTCTCTGCGCACCCAATGAACACGGTTACAGGGGAAACCGACAGAATGTATTCCATCACAACACATAAAACCCAATGGATTTGGCTTATTTCACAGTGAGACTCGCGCTTCACAACATAACACAGTCGAAACACACAAACTATAAAATAATTTCTTTTAAAAAGAGACATGAAAACACTGAGGCGTTCTCGTAACGAAAAACTCAAACGCCAATGACTGAATTTACTCTTCAAGTATAAAGCCCAGTGATGTTGACCTCTTCAAGTTACGAATGGCGCAGCAAATATATGTTCGGTGACTGGAGGGAATGAAGAACCAAGGCGGTTGTTACAAGACCAGCTACACACCGAATTTACATTCACATAATTAACTCTCCAGTTAGGATTATTCAGTGTTACGTTACTACGTCATAAAGCTTCGTTAAGGTGTGTGTAGGCCTCCAGCTGTTAGTTTCCTCTATTTGCTTAGTATACAATGTTCTTCCTGTACAGACTTTACATATATGAATTCAGATTCACCGTCTGAATCTTCAATTTCTGTTTTTTCTTTGCATCCAAAGACTGAAAAAAAAAATTCCAGAGCTCATTAAGACTCTGAAATGAAGTGTGATTGGCTGACGTGACGTGTAATCTGATTGGCTCTCCCACCCAACTCAAGGCATGATGTCACCTCGAAAGCATGGCTATTTGAAGTAGTTGAGCCCGGCCACCAGAAGGAACTTCTCCAGGAAGAGTTCAGAGTCGAGTACGGCGATGTGAGCCGCACGTCCGATCAGCGTGTTGGCCGTGTTGGGTAACGCGTGGAACACGTTATGTCTGATCAAACGACAATTTGGAGCACTTAGCAACGGCTGGAGTAAGTTATTGATCATCTCTGTATATACTGGACCTGTTAGAAAGCAAATACATTCATCACACACATTACATTCAACATATGAAATATTATATGACATATTAATCACAAATGTACTATAGTAGATGTTTTGCTGATGCTTTTTAGTGTGATGTATATATAATTAAAATATTTAAATAAAAATGTTTGTAAAAAAAAAAATCATAAAGATGTGTATAATAAAAATAAAATATTACAATAAAAATGTTAAAATAAAATGTTATTAAAATAAATCCTGAAAATATGCTTCACAAAAATAAAATATTAAAATAAAAATGTGAACATTTTATTAAAATAAATCCTGAAAATATGTATCACAAAAATAAAATATTTAAATAACTGTTTTCATTGCTGTTTGATAATAATAAAAATGTTTCTTGAGCACCAAATCAGCATATTAGAATGATTTCTGAAGGTTTTTCTCTGAAGGTGATTTCTAGTGACACTAAAAATTCAGCTTTGGCATCACAGGAATAAATTACATTTTACAGAACACACTAAAGTAGAAAATGGACATTTCATTAATAATAATTTTTAAATGCATTAATAATGTTTCACAATATTACTGTTTTAAATTCTTGATCAAATAAATGCATCTTTGGTTCATTTATTAGAACTGTCTGTTTTTATTTATTTATATTTTAAAAGATTTTAAGACGTTTTTGAAAACATAGATTGGATACCAGCTTATACACAGACCATGTTAATAAGTAAAGTTGTGTGGCTATATACTTATATACTGGGAACTGTATGTGACGTTTATCCTGGTACAGTGCCTTGCCCCTTAGACTTCCATTGTAAATGCATTGTAGATTTTTGATTGTGTGTGTGTTTTTTTTATTAATCAACAGCATGCAAGAGTCTTGCACATTTTTCAATTTCAAATATTTGATGCATAAAACTCGCAAACCGAACTGTCTGTTTTTATTTATTTATATTTTAAAAGATTTTAAGACGTTTTTGAAAACATAGATTGGATACCAGCTTATACACAGACCATGTTAATAAGTAAAGTTGTGTGGCTATATACTTATATACTGGGAACTGTATGTGACGTTTATCCTGGTACAGTGCCTTGCCCCTTAGACTTCCATTGTAAATGCATTGTAGATTTTTGATTGTGTGTGTGTGTGTGTTTTTTATTAATCAACAGCATGCAAGAGTCTTGCACATTTTTCAATTTCAGATATTTTGATGCATAAAACTCGCAAACCTGCAAATCTTGTGACACGTTCTTTCCCAGAAGAGCCTGAGAACTCGTAAACAGGACTTCGTCTCCAAGCGGATTGATAAAAACCTGTGCACACAGACTCTTGGAAAGCCTACCAATCTGATTGGAACTTGCCATGTTGAGTGTAAGCACTTGCCATTGTTTTGCTGTCTGCAGCTAGCTGTGCATTGACATAAACAGTCTGTATTTCTAAGTCTCTATTTCAAGGCATCCTCCATTGTCCTATGTGATCATAGTCTTTGTGTGTGTGTGTGTGTGTGTGTGTGTGTGTGCGTGTGTGTGTGTGTGTGTGTGTGGCAAGTTCTGGTTTGGAACAGGAAGTCTTTGAGCTAACAGACCTGTGGTTCTGTCTTTAAGCGCAGTCCGACACATCTCAATGCGGGCCGAGTGGAAGGGCACATATCGGTCCTGTGGAGAGGCCACCAACACCACGTTCCTGAAGAACTGCAGACCTGGACAAAGAAAGTAAGGAAACATGGGTATGTATGTATGTGTTTGTGTTCATCCTTGCTTGTCTTTCTATGTGTCTCTACCTGGTTTCTTGCTGAGTGTGTAGAGGAAGGTCTGTCGCGGGTCGGTGTGGTCCCTGAACGTAAGCTGCAGTAGCGAACCAGACTTCTTCAGTTTCTGCATTAGCCACAGACCTGAAGAACAAGGATAGAAAGTCATACAGGTTTAGAACGACATCAAGCTGAGGAAATGGTGACAGACTCTGTAGATTTTATTCAGCAAACCGATGAACTCTAGACAGACTGCATATACACTACTGCTCAAATGTTTGGGGCCGCTAAGACTCTTATGCTCACCAAGGCTGCATTTATTTGAGCAAAAATACAGTAAAAATAGGAATATTCTGACATATTATTACCATTTAAAATAACTGTTTTCTATTTGAGAACATTTTAAAATGTAATTTATTTTTGTGATGCAAAGCTGAATTTTCAGCATCATTACTCCAGGCTTCAGTGTCACATGATCCTTCAGAAATCATTCTAATATGCTGATGTTCTTTGATGAACAGAAAGTTCAAAAGAGCAGCATTTATTTGAAATAGAAGTCTTTTATAACATTATGACTTTACTGTTACTGTCAATTTAATGCATCCTTGCTGAATACAAATCAATTTCTTAAATATAACACGACTGACCCCAAACTTTTGAACAGTAGTGTATGTCTGTATTTGTGTGAGTACCTGTGCTGACCAGCGTGCTGTTGCTGTACAGTGTTCCCAGGTGGGGTCCAGACAGGGACAGGAAGGTGTGGAGTTTACAGAGGTAACAGCGAAATCTGGGTCGGGTCAGCACAGAGCGAATTATGACGTTCCCCAAAGAGTGTCCGATAAAACTGGCAAAAAGAAACAAACAAAAAAAAGTCAGGCATTGAACCGTCCAAAAATATGTGTTCATTTTGATTAATTTTTGGGTCTCTTTTCATTGCAAATTATTCTTACATCGCAATAAGGGACTACAGTTTTAATGAAATCTCTCTCAGTCAATATGAAACTTTGTAACATTTGATTTTGAAAAGACATTTGAAACTCTAGACTTCCGAGAACGAACAAAGACTGGGAAGTATATTAAAAATTATTAAATGACTGTAAAATTAAGATTAAAAAGCTTCATATGAACTAGGAGACACATTTGTTACATTTTCCAGCGTATTATGTGAATATCTTCAGATTTGATTTCTTCTGAATGCCTAACAGACCTTTCTTTTACTTTACTGCCATCTTGTGGTAACAGTAAGTATAAAATATGCAGTTCTAGTGGAGCCATCCAGGCTACAGAACTACTGTATTCACCTTTTTATTATTATTATTATTATTACTGACACTAAAAGCATATATTTAATGTGAAGCTTTATACTCTATGCTATACTTGATATCTGGATCAAACATTTTAAATGCAAACCTTGTCTACGACATGCTATTTTGTAAGCAGCTAAAGATCATACATTTGTTAAACTGTTCGTGAATATCCAGATGTAAAGACAAAACTAATGAGGCTTACAACATGATTAACTGCTCTCAAATGGTTGAGGCAGATGTCTCTAATGCCCAACCACAAGGGGGCACGCTAGTCTGTGTTTTCTATTCTTATGAAATGTGTATGGGATCACAGGGTTTTAAGAAGTCATAGTGTCAGTTAACATGGTGGTTGACATGGCCTAGTTAGATCTTGCAGGTAAATGTCGTATCTGGATTCAGAAGGCATGCAATTGAATGTCTACATCTGTTCAGACTCGTAGTTTGAGCTCTAATGCAATGCTGATATTGACTGTGGTTTGGTTGTGCTGCTATAATATCAATATGATGGTGAGTTTTAATGAGGTTGTGTGTTTATAAACCTGATTCGGTGGATGGTGAGGTTATACAGCTGGATGTGCTGAATTATCTCGTCCAGAAGTCTGTCAGTCATGGTGTCAAAATCTGCAAAGGTGTCCGTCTAGAGACAGAAGACGACAATGTCAACAGAAAGCTGGGGCAAGTTCAAGTTCAAACCGGTGTGCACCGTTTTGCTACGGTTTCCGGTTTGAACGACATGTTTCCTGGAAACGGTGTGCAACGGGGTTTGAGATGCGTTTTCTCTTGTTTGGTGGGTGGGTCAAACATGTCAGCCCAATCAGCAGCAACATGTATGTAAACCACGCAGTATTAAAGAGACAGCTAGCACAATGTAATTAACATCCAAATAAATTCACAAGAGCAAGTATATTGTTTGCACATGTTTATTTACATTAAAGGCAAAATAACTGAAATAATAAGGGCACAAGTATAGATCTGGAACTTCTTTAAGTCTGTCTAAATATCATTTAGTAATTGCAATGTCTTCTGGTCCATATCCTTTCCTTAGGAAGGTGTGCTAGACACTGATTAATGTAACATAAAAATACTATACATATTTATATATTTTGCTATTGTATTATGGAGTGACACTTTCATAAACTGTTCTATACCCCTCTGATTATATAATGGTAAATATTACAATAACATAGCACAACAACAGTGATCAGCAATAATGATAATAATACTCACAATTAAAATAATAAGGTCATATAGATCATAACACAGTCTCGGAGGTAAGAAGTGGATTATCCTTCACCTGAAATGTTTGTCTTTTCATCCTGAAATGCGAGGCAAATGTTGGATCACAATAATTAGGAACCACAGTTTCCACAAATCCCTTCACTCGATTGGGATGTTCTCTTTTATTCTGGACAGCAAAGGCGTATTTTGCAGTATTAAACACGTATTTATACCGATTTCATCAGGCTCCGAAAATTCTTCAAAAAGAACACAAAGAATGGCCTTCTCAGCTGCCATAGTTGCAACTCTTGCGTCATCAGAACAGGGTGTTCAACGCACCACCGTTTCCGTTTAAAAAACGTTTTGCACCGTTTTTGTCGGGGCTGAACGCAGCCCTGATCAAACTTGTAGTAACCATTTGAAAGTTGTGATTGGTTGTTGAGGGGCATTGTAGCTTTCTGATTGGTTGTTGTGTGCTGTTAACTAGTCACATAGTGATAGTTGTTTGTTGTTGTGTTGGCATGTTAAAATACTTTTTTAAAATAATGAAATATTGTCGATCTGAGCAATAAAAATGTGGAACATTTGATTTCACTTTTTTCACTACATTCAACCAGGGATCCCTGGTTCATGTTTTTTTTTTTTTTTAACCATGAAATGTTTCCTATTTATTTATTTAAATTCATTCATTCATTAATTTCATATCTGACCCCTGACCTGTCATTGACTAATGTCATAATGTCCTGGGTGCTCTGATTGGCTGAATGCAGTTCAACAGCTGTGCTGATTGGTTGGATGTTCTACCTGGTTGCGTTCTGACATGAGGAAGTCCAGTCTAGATCCAGGCAGCCCGAGCTCTATAAACGTCTTGACCAACCGCAGATCTGCGCTGTTACCTGGTAAAAACAAACACAAAAAAAACAATTTACTACAGATGCAGCTATTATTTTTTACATCTTAAAAAGTTTGCAGATATGAATCCAAATGTCTTCAAGGTTAGAACGTTTACCATCAAGTCCATGGACACACACCACGAGGTGGATCCCATCCTCAAACTCGGTGTCGTCTTCCTCAGGAGGGAAGTATGGGTGATCGGAGGCGAGGTAAGGCAGGTCACTGTAGAGAGTGCCTCTGAACACCAGCTCCCTCAGCATGGCCTCCTTTGCCTTATAGAAGCTTTAAGACATCAATGAAAAACTGTAATAATACAGTGAGCAATGCATTCATGTTCTGTTAAAATAGTAAAAGGGGAAAGCTGAAAATTCGGCCTGTACATACGTTCATTACCTCCTTATGATTGGTGAGAAAATGTACATTTAAAATATAAATTTTGTTTGCTATTAGTGAATAACCAAAATTAACTTACTTAATCATTCTCTCGTTGATTTCCTGATCAGCGCCGAAGGAGGAGTTGGAGGAAATTATTCCAAATGAGCCTAGGGGTTGATGGGTAATTGGGGAAGTGGCCTGGCGCGTGGAGATTCCGCTAACCGATGGCGAATCACGTAGCACAGACGAGAAGGGCAGACATGTGGGAGCGCATGACACCGACAGGTTGACTACCTCCACCACCTTTTTATTCACAAATGACAGACCTGTACTTGGCACTTTACTGGCTCTGCTCTGCCCCTCTAGCGCCTGCTGCTCTCTCTCATTGGCTGGAAGCTTGATGATATCAGCAGGCATTTCTTTCTCATTGGCAGCAATTTTGTAACTGCTCTTGGCATTGATTGGTGGATCTGGAAGGTTCTCCATGCTTACTTCTTCAAATTCATTCAAATGAATGTGACAGACACTGATGTCATCGGGGTCCTTTTGATATGTGTTTGATTCTAGCACCCCCTTGTGTTCGCAATATTTATTTTCACAGCTACAGATCTTTGTGTTGTCATCATTTAGAGCAGAATACTCGTCAAGTAATATGTTTGCTTTACTTTCCTCTGAGTTTTCAGTCGGTTCCTCCACTGTGGCGTTTTCAACACCATTGTGCGTCCCACATTGCTGGTATAGAAACATTACTGGATTAGCTAATTCAAGATCTGATGTTTCCTGATTGGACAACTCACCCACGTCGATCTCGTGATTGGTTGTTTCGTTTCTGTCCTCCTTAGTAACGCTTTGAAGATTCTGCTTCACCTCATTGGCTCCTTCCTCACTCTGCCTTAGCTGATTGGCTGCACAAACATTCCTCTTCTCCTGATTGGTTGTTTCCTCTCTGTCCTCTCTAGTAACTCCTTGAAGTTTCTGCTTCATTTCTTTGGCTGCTTCCTCACTCCGCCTCAGCTGATTGGCCACACAAACATTCCTCTTCTCCTGATTGGTTGTTTCCTCTCTATCCTCTCTAGTAACTCCTTGAAGTTTCTGCTTCATTTCTTTGACTGCTTCATCACTCAGACTCAGCTGATTGGCCACACAAACATTCCTCTTCTCCTGATTGGGTGTTTCATGATCTTCCTCTGTGTCGTCAGGACTGCTGATCTGTGGCGCTGAGGCGGATTTGGTCAAAGTATTGAGTTGCCTCTCCTCCTCCTCTTCATAAGGCAGGGAGCTTATGGAGGTCAGAGAGGCCTGCGTGGCACTGGGCAGGCTGCCGTGACTTTCCATCTGTAGGCCCTCCAAAGAGCTCTGATGCGCCGGCTGACGACGCGCCAAGTTCTGCAAGACGTCACGACCCCCTCCGACAATTCCTCGACCCTCCAGGGTCCAGGCCACAGAGCTTGGCTCGCTCTCAATACCAGAATCCGAAATAACGGAGGAGGAGCGGGTCATTAGTTTAGCCCCGCCCAAGAATATGCCCTTGGGCGGGGTTTCGGACAAGCGATGGATCTGTTGTATAACATTACGAGAAGGAGACGTGGCTAAAGTGTCGGTTCCCATTGAGTTGGTGTTCAGTAGATTAGCTGGTGATGTATCCTTGCTCCCATAATCCTTTGCAGGTGCTTCAGTGTATCTGTTATCTAATACCGACTGTGGCTGGTCGTTGCCAAGACTCCCTGTATTGCCTGGTGTTTCAAGATGGTTGTCATGGTTATGAGTGGGCAAGAACTCAAAGCTGTCAAGGCTGGTGAGGTCGGGAAGTTCTGCAGCATCCGTCGGAACAAGCAGCAAAGTCTGTCCGCTACTAAAATCAGTACTTTTGGGAACATTTGTTTGTTTTAGACCCGCATGATCAGATTCAACAAAGTCAACTGCTTCTTTTTGGCAACTAGTTTTCTCAAGGTTACCTGTATCTATTGCTTCATCGCTGTCTACAGACCTACAATCAACATCGAATCCTTCCTCAGTTTCATACTGGCATCTGGCCTTATCAACAGAATCAATTCTTGAATCTGAGGTCGTGATACATTCGCTTCTATCAATATCAATCTCTCCCACATGGCCAATCAGAGTCTCTGCTTGAGCTCTGGTCTCTTTATAGTCAGTGATGCAGTCCTCCTGCCGGCCAATCAGGGCCATGTATGTGGGCAAGTCCATGTAATCTTCACTGGGAGGTTCATCAGGGGGTGTTGCTGGTGAATTGGTGTCCTGTGTTCCCTCAACCGGAATGATGGTTTGATCTTCCATCCTCGTTGGCTCAGGACATGGCTGAGAGTTTAAAACAGTCTGATTTTCCACATGGAGGTTGTAGTCTAGAACAGAGAAAGAGAAAAGTGCTCAATTGTTTATTTTTTTTATTTGTTTAATAAAAACTTGAGGATACTTTAAAATGTGTATTTTTGTTCTGTTGACCTAATAATTTGTTGATTCATTTGATTGTTTTAGATTTTTTTGATTTGATTTATTTTTCATTTATTCATTAATTTGCTCTTAAATTATTGAATTAACTCTTGAGTTAACTCATTCACATTTTCATTCTTGTTCATGCATTTGTTAGTTTGTTGGTTCATTACTTCATTTACTCGTGTTTCTCATTGATTTGTTAGTATGTTTAATACATTTGTCTTTGTACGTATACTCATTCTTTCAACTATTCATTTATTTGTTTGCCTGTTCCTTTTATTTCATTTATTTGTTTATTCTTTAGTTCTGTTAGTTTTTCAGATCTCTCATTCATTTGTTTATTCATTTATACATTAATTCTTATATTTATTTGTTTGTTCATAATGCAGTTCACTGATTCAGTTTTTAGTTCTAAATGTTTTGTTTGTTCATTTCCTTTTTTGTTCATTCATAAGTTTGTTCATTCTTTCAGTGATCCGTATGTTTAAAATGCTCACATTTTTGTTTATTCATTAATTAGTATGGCCTTTCATTTTGTTTTTTCATTCATTCATTTGTACAATCATTTATATATTAATTCATATATTTATTTATTTGTTCGTTCATTATGCAGTAAGCACTAATTCAGTAGTTTTTTAGTTCTAAATATTTTGTTTCTTCATTTATGTTTTTGTTCATTTATAGGCTTGCTCATTCATTCTGTGATTTGTTTGTTTAAATGCTCATTCATTAATTAATTTGTTTGCTTGTTTGTTTGTTTAGATGCTCATTCTTATGTTCATCCATTCATTTGCTTTCTTTTAAACAGGGTCACTGTTTGTTGTCACCTAAACAGGGCGTGTCCACGTATCTGTCCTCAAAGATGATTGGCAGGCTGCTCCAGTCTCCGTCGATGTCCAGGCATTCCACAGGAAGTGGAGGCATTCGGAGCAGGTAATCAGAGTTGCGCATCTCTGTGGCCACCTGTGCTTGTCTGTTGATACTAATAATTACAGTAGCTTTAATTAAAATAATGAAGGTTATTTCTCCATTTACATAGCTAGGTATATATGAGTACGTCGCTAAAAGACTACTGTACTAAAAGACTCACAGCTCCTCCTGAAATGTGAGTGAGGACTCTTTGGGATGTTCAGTGAAGAAATATGCTTCAGAAAATCTCCTGACCTGCACAGACACACACATTCAGTATATATATATATATATATATA